TGAACTTTGGCCTTCAGGCAGAACACCTTATCTACCTCCCTAAATAGCTGCACTCTGCAAGTTTAATATCAATTGTTTTACTGACAACTATTGAGTTTGCGAATGTCGCATCCATCTAAGGATGGAAAGTTACCTAGCCTAGGTTGAACTAATTTTAAACTCGCTTGAAAGGAGTTGTAGTTTTGGTTATTCCTTGGTGCAACTGAAATAAAGTAATCTTACCGTTGTCAATTCAGACACCTCAGAGCGAGGCAGTAGTACTTCTTTTAAGATAAAGAAAAGAGGCTGCTCTCCTTGATCAAAAAAGCACCCTATAAACACGAAAGAGAAGGCTAATTAATCTGGCTTCAACACCAAACAAATTAAGGGGACGCCATTTTTTCCCGAGTTGCTCGGAGGTAAATAGCAAAGGATATTCGGAGTTTGACTAGCCAATCAGAGCACGCCTTCAACGCTATCCACTGTTTTAGTATATACTAATTGATAAATATTCGCTATTTGGAGATTAGGCATACTCAGCAATTAGGAGAAATGACCAATCGATCTTAACGCCTCTTTTCTCCACACCCCTACAACCCAAACCCTCCAACCCAAACCCTCCAACGAGAAGTTTCGATATTGCTCCAATGTTTGACAGATATCATTATAAATTACTGCATTAAGCTTGGATAGAGGGGTGCTGAAAAGGTAGGAGGATTGTCAGCTAAAGAAGCACTGTGCTAAGACTGTTATGGATCCTTATTAGCCCTCACGATAGTAACTGTCAGTTTACCTGGTACTTCTGTCCTCTCGCCGTTGATGAACATCCATTTGGTCTCAAAACTTCTGCTGTCCCTCCTTTTTCTTTCCCTGTCTTTAATTGAAGACCTCTCTTCTCTTCTTCGTATATCTTCCTCACTTTTTTGTCGGTAAATCTCTCCACTCCTCCTTCGTTCCATTTGTTTCAGTTTCCATTTTTCCCTCTCTTCGCGGCGCCTTCGTTCTTCTTCCATCCGCTCTCTTTCTTCCTCTTCAATGCGCTTCCTTTCAATCTCATCGAGCTTCTTCTTTTCTTCTTCTTCGAATTTCTTTCGCTCAATGCTACGGCGTTTTAACTTCTTGCTCTCCATCTGTTTGCGCTTTTCTTCTTCTTCTCGTTGCTTTCTTTCCTCTAGTTCGCGTTTCCAGATTCGTTCTTCGTCCTCTCGTTTCTTCCTTTCCTCTTCTAACCGTTTCTTTCTTTCCTCGAGCGCTTTGAGTCGACGTTCTTCCTCTTCTCGATGCTTACGTTCCGCTTCTTCTCTCTTCTGTCTCTCTTCCACCTCTTTCTGTAACCTAAATTCCTCCCTACGCCTTTCTTTCTCCTCTTCCTCTAGTCTCCGTCTGCTTTCTTCCTCTAGCCTTGCCCGTTCTTCCTCTTCTTTTCTCTTCCTTTCAGCTTCCTCTTGTCTTTTCTTAGCTTCTTCTTCTCTGAGCAAACGATCCTGTTCAAATTTCTGCATTCTCCACTCAAGCCTTCGCTTTTCCTCCTCGGGGTCCACTCCAGGGGCTAACTGAATGGTCGCCACAGTCACTTTGGTTATGGTTTCGGGTTTCTCTTGCTTTAAAATCCTTATCTCCGATCTATATTCTTTTTCTGCTTCTGCTTGTTCAATTTCCTTCTCCAATAACTTTTTTCGTTCCTCTTCAAGGCGTTTTCGTTCTTCGTCTCTGAATCGTTTCATTTCTTCCTCAACTTTTCGTGGTGTTTCAACTCTTTTTATCCAACCTTCCTCTATCTTCTTTTTCTCGTCTTGTCGATTTTTATTGTCTGGCACGTCCAACTTTTCAGAAATAAAAACTTCAGTTCTGCTATTCCATTTCGCTTGCCTTTCTTTCCTTTGTTCTTCCAGCCTCATCATTTCCTCTTCCATGCGTTTTTTTCTTTCTTCCTCCCGTTTTTTTCTCTCCTCCTCTCTCGCTTTTTTCAATTCCTCATCTCGTTTCTGCCTCTCTTCAGCGCGTCTTTTCCTTCCCTCCTCTAACACAGCTTCTAATTCTTTATCTCGTTTTTTCCTCTCCTCTTCCCATTTTCGATGTTCTTCTTCCCACTGAAGTCTTTCTTCCTCGCGCTTTCGCCTGATTTCTTCTTCCTTTTTCCGTCTGTCTTCCTCCCGTTTTTTCCTCGCCTCCTCTTCAACTAACCTTCTTTCCTCTCTCTCTCTCTTCCTTCGTTCTTCATCCTCATTAAGTATTGCAGTAAGAGCTTCCATTCGCTTTCGATGCTCTTCATCAATTCTGCTATATTCTTTTGTTACCCGTTCGTGTCTGCCCTCCTCAATGTTAAGTATCTGTGGTACGTCTTGTCCATCAGGTTTTTCTCGCCGCTCTAATGCTCTTTCTTCATTGAGAACCAGCTGGATTCGCGACTCGGCTTCCCTTCGTTCCCTCTCATCCATATCTTCCCTGGATGGCCGTCGTTTAACTTCTTCTTGCTCAATAATCTGTTGAATTTCTTCCAACCTGTTCTGTTGATCTTCTTCAATTCGCTGCCTTTCCTTTGCCTCTCGGATTAACTGTTTTTCTTGTTCCTTCAGTGAGTCTTCGTCTGGTTCGCCATTCTCTTCAACACGTGTCTCAACAGTTGTATACAAAACTTTCTCTGTAATATAAAAAAAAGAAAGCGATTTGCATGAGTGATCACCATTGAATACAAGACCGCACCAAATAGATCACCTGTCGCCACCTAATGGCGGGAAACTAAACGTTGAAAGGGTATCTAAAATCGCCTTCCAATAAGCGCTCGAAAAGCTCCGAATCACAGATAGATATATATTCATATATTATAGGTGATATCAATATCTTATAGGTGTCGTAGATCAGAGTCAAGTCGTACTAAACCCTTAAAGGTGTATAACCGGGAAATTGAGGTCGAAAAAGTCTCCCTGTGACCCCCTCGCAGCTTGAAGGCTGGCATTGGGCACTCAGATAAAAATATTGCAGTTTGAATGAGTTAAGATTAATCGACTGGCGTTTCATGTCTAAGACAACCAAATATAACACCCACTGTAACAAAGTATTGCGATCTTTGCTCCAACAATAATCATATCTTAATGCAAATTTTAAACATATTTGCCGCTAAAAGTCACTCGATATACCATACACAGTGACTGGGCTAAGTTTTTCACTTGCGTCGATCTGAATTGTCAAAACAATAATATTTAAATCGAACGGGATAAAAGTCTCATTTTCTTGCAAATCCTTCGGGTAAAATCCATTGCTTACCTACAACATAACTTCCATCATCGTCGGTCTGAGTAGTTTGAAATCCGTCTGTGAAAGAAAGAAATTGATAAACATTTGTTTACGTAAACTATATTAACACAAAAAAATCGAAAATGACCAAGATTTCTGAATAAAACAATTGGTTCGAGCTATAAAACGACAGATTTAAAAATTTGCTGAAAACGCCACGAAATCGGCTGCGCCTTCGAAATTCAGCTTCGCGTCTTCCACATCTCAGGGCTTTAGTTGACAAAATGCAAATATCGCCTCATGATGGGTAAATAAGATATGATTCTGTCAATTCATGCGCTCTTCAAGCCTCTCAGTTACAATTACATCGAAGTCAAGACATTCCGAAAATATTGAAATTACAGAAGTTCTTACAAATGATATAAACCACCACTCAAATCAAGAACAGAAGCTTTGAATATCCCGTTTACGATTTTTAATACAATACGAGTTTTCGAAAATGAATGTTTTGAATACCAATTTTCAATAGACTCAGTGCGTTTTCAAAATCTGGCTATGAAAAAGATAAGAAAAAACTCCGAACCCAAAAATGTACTTACCCAAACTGAATTAAATTTTAAATGCTAGCAATGTTTCGACGTCGATCTAGAAATTTTCCCTCGAATAATCAAGAATAGAGTGTTATTGAATAGAAAAATCATCTACTAAGTAACCGCGCCTTGTTATTGTCAAAACAGATGGCCGTAGAAGGAAATATTGTGGCCGAACGTTATAAAATACTTTTCACAGGAATCGCAATACAAGTCTGGGATTTACTTTTCTTCGATTCCGCAGAGGCACATTAATGATATTTTCATTCCTTGCCGCTTTGAGCGCAAATATTTTTTTAACATTTTTGAAGACTGCTTAGCAATATAAAAGTGATTTTAACTGATGGACATTATCTGTGTAGACCCGACATCCGAGCATAACAATAATCACTAACTGTCACTATGTCACTAGTCTTGAAGTCGAGAACAGCTAAAATTCTGTCTTCTCCAATGCCGCGGACAGCTACTTGCTTTTTGTCGTTCAGCACGTGCTAAATATTTTAGTGAACAGGTTTTTTTGCCAGTAGAGGAGCTTGTCAAAAAGACTGAAATGTATAAATGTGATGATCTCGCAAAGAGGAACATGAAAATTTATCAATAAAACGTTTCTGGAATGTTTTTTCTTTTCTTTCATTATCAAGATTATCACCACGAAAGTGACATTTTCTCTTTTATTTTTCGTCTCCTTGGATAAGGCTGTCTGTATCCAAATACAAACATGGGACTAAGCTTTAAATCCCAGTTTCTATTAAGCATTTAGGCTGTGATCAAAAATACAAAAAATTCAATGTAAACAAAAAATTCCAGGGTAAAAGAGCAAAACGCTGTTTTTTCATGACTTGCCTAATCTAACCACATGGCGCAGCCTGTGAAACAAACCTTGGCCGTGTTATCCTTTCTATTTTTTTATCCTCAGTTCACCCCACAATTGCATATTATTTCACGGAGTACTCCATTTACAATGTTTCGTATAGTTGTGTCTATAATTTTGATTTCAAGATTCACACTCAATTCGCACTGATCTGCAATCATCGGCGAGAAGCGGTGCATCAAAAAGTTTGCTTCCGAACAGAATTTAAACCCTGAAAAGCTAAGTCGGTGAAACATTACTCCTAATCCGTGCGATGTGAAACGTATTCCATGCCGATCTGCTGCGTGTGAACTTTAGAAGTCTCCCTGCGCGCTCATTACAATCTGTTCTTTACGATATTTTTGTTGTTTTTTCTTCCCTTTAGACTGTTTATAATTAAGTAACTAAGTGCGATGGAGAGTAAATGAAAGAGCCATTTAGCAATTCTTACCTCCAATGTTTAGTGCAGCCCCATACAATTCAATTCTTAAGCATGGCCAGCAGTACCAGTCGACTGGACAAAACCTCACGTATCGTGTGATGATTTCTTTATCCAACTCTTTCTTGCTTATGCCCCAGTTATTCGAGTTTCCGTCGATGATCTTCAACAACGAACGACACAAAATTAGACCCTGATCAATGAGTTCTTTTGATTATAAATTCGAGTAATGGCGTGGCTTGGCTGTTCACATGTAATTTAATTCTGTGAATGAACAAAGGGATTAACGTACAGACAACAATTCGGGAGGTGAAAAGTTTCAGTATGCAAATTAGCCATGCGCTTGGCTGTTGGCTTTCAAATATTGATTTATAAAGCGCATCAGTTGCCTCTGTTGTTCTTAGACATAATTTCGTTCTTACTGAATTTCCACCTTCAAGGAAATATCTTGTCAAAATAAGAAATATCCATGGAACGCTTTCAAATCTTCATTCAGAATACCTAACGACAGAAATTAATCATTAACGAAAGGTCACGGTTTTATCCAAACGCTGGTCACTGTCAATGTCGAGAAAGTTGCCACCGCAGTAGTTTATCAGAATACCACCCAAAGTTCTTCAACTTCAAGACTGACTTTAACAAAGAACGCTAATGAAAACAAAATAAGAACTTACGTCGTTCCCATTCTCCTCGTAAGTGTCCCAGCCTTCGCCGTCCGCGGAGGAGAGAAGTTTGTATCGTTTGACGTAATCTCTGTTTCCACCAGGATTTCCCTGTGTTGCTACACCACACAGCAAATGGAGACTTCCTAGGTCAACCTGACTCAAATAAATGGAGAAATAGATACAAAGATGAATTTCAAACAACTAATATATTGAGCGACCGAGGGAACTACAGAGAGCCAAAGGAAGTAGAGGCTCTCAGGCTCATGAAATAAGACCTCACGCAATGGTGTTAGTTATGCAATGGTATTTAATTGTTATCATTTTGGATTAAAAGTAATTCCATCTTCCGTCTTTGAAATCAAGTTACAACTTTTGATGAAAGCAACATTACACTCTTCATTTTAAAAATCACTCCATTGTAAATAATTCCTAAAGTTTGCCAGGTTAACACAGTTGAAAGAACAGTGAAATTCTTCCCAAGAAACATCTATAACTTTTGGCCTCAAAACGAAATTCTTCAGGCAAAACAGATGGTGTTTCGTGTTGTAAGCACTGTCTTCACAAGGAAGTTACTTCGGTCAGGTTGTTTGCAACATTAGGTGAGTGTCAGTACATCTTAATAACAGTTTGACTATGTGATGATAGTTTTTGTAAGTCACCTGATTAGTCCTCTTTTACGTCTACTGAGTCATAACAAGGACTTAACCCAAAACTACGAGGTTTTGGATCTCGGTAAAAGGTCTGGACATTTTCTAAACTTTTCGCAAGAGAAAAATCACCACTTTCCCCAGGTTGATCAAGTTTTGTGAAGCACTCTGGTTGAAAACAAATTTTTACAAATTCTGACCTGCAAATAGCAGTCGGCTGCTTTTCCTGCGCACCAGGCCGACGGCCCGTTCAGTCGGGCTAAATGTGGCGGTGCGTGGCCTGAGAACGAGGAGGCAGTTAGGCAGTTATCCGCTATAGCGCCATTTTCCACTCCAAGAGGCTCACCTCCTGAAAATATAAAGGAATAAATTTCAAAAAAAAAGGAGAGGAAAGAATAAATAACGGAGCAAGAGTCCCTTAATTTATTAAAAATACCTCATTGGAGTGTTCTGAGACGAAAATGTTTTTTTTCAAATTGATGATCTTACAATAAACTGAGCTGCATATCCGATAATTAAAAGTAAAAGCATTCATTTCTGAAGAAATAAACTCAAGTCGTGTTTGCTAATTGGTATAATGATTTCATTTTATGCCAATATTTCGCATTGGTGCAGAAAATTTGCATTTGAATGGTAGAACTTAACGTGATTTTATTTTCTATTTTTTCAATTCAAAGGCAAACTGAAACTTCGGTTTTCGTTTGAAGTACAAGGTATGATGCTAAAAATTCTCCTAAGCTTGCTGACAATTTTGCAACTCGAAACAAACCAACATGACAAGCGTTAAAAATACGTGACATTTTCGAGTCACAAATATGAATTTCAATTTTTTGCTCTGTTGCCAACTTAGGATTTTAAGTGGCAAAATTCCAATGTTATAAACTCCACTTACGCGTTTTAAACAAATGCTGATGGAATTACTACTACATCTCTCGTTTCGATGTTAATCCCTCTAATGAAATTTCTAAATTTAACATGTACCTCGTTACCAAGACCTTACTAACTTCTTTGAGTAAATCAAATGAACTCTCAAAAAATACATCAACAGTATGATGCTGTTAAAATTGGGGAATTGTTCTTTAGTATGACGGTAAAGGATTTCCCAGTTTGTTCCACGAAGTATTTGGTCCTTCTGTTTCAATGACGCGTTTTTTCAAAGAAGAAACAACTTTTTTGTGTCTGATTCGACTTGCAGAGGATAGAGTACGGAGATAGAATCACAAAACACCATCTCCTCTTTCAGTGTGTTAATGAGGTCTCACTGGTGGTTTTCACAGTGAAAAAGTGGTGATATATTTTTTGATCGATACTGCAATGTTACACTGACAAAACATGAAAATGAATATTTCAAAACAAAAACGTTTGCTGATTATGATATACCACGAATATCAGGATCGTTTAAGAATTCCTTAGACTGTAAAATATTCAATGAAGAGAAATCTCACCTGGAATGGTTTCCACCGTGTATGATGTTTCCACGACCGTGCCCATGGATTTTTCTGTCAGAAAATAAAAGTTTTACTAAAGCAATTAGCCAGCCACCGAGTAAACGATGAAACAAACCAACAATCAGTGGAATGTTTTCAGCAAAAATGTAACAAACCTGACAGCGAAGTACCGCGAACACAGATCTAAATAGTGATTATTTGAATTTTAACGATTTGACTTTCTGGCTCTGCGCCGGTTTTCGACAATCACTGTCAACTGACGTAATTGAAATACTGTTTTCAAAATATCAATTTGCTTTAGAGCACCGCACATTAATCATGTTTCACCGTGTTATGGTGCAATTTTAGTCAATTTATTCTAGAACCGTTTATAACAAACCTTTCCCTTTCAAAATATTCCCAGACTTTAACCTCCGCCGGAAACAAGTCATAACAAATACAAAACAGTCACAAACACGCCGGCGTGATTCCACCGACATGGAGATCTTGTGATGGAAAAATATCATTTTAATTTCTGAAAATTAATTCTCAAAATAAAAAAGAATTAAATGAGGTTTCCATTAATGTTTATGATAATCTCCAGGAACTTTCTTGGGACCGTTCAAAAATTCGGGGCTCAGAATGTTCCCGGGAGGCCAATAAGCTCTAGAAGATGCACCCCAGAGAACAACTTTATTTTTTCTGTAATAATTCTTTTGATCTTAATCAGATTTCTCTGTTCTTCGTTTTAATGAGTACGTGAAGGGTGTCTCAATCAAAACAGAAATGGTCTCCAGTCAGGCGCGTTAAATATCTGAATATTATCTGAGTTGTCCGGCGATAGGCAAGGTAGAACGTGCCAGAAATCAGAACAGTTCCACAGTCAGACCATTTTGATATTCTAGACTATTTTTTACTGAAAATCGTAAATCTTTTCGTGTAAAAGGAGATCAGCATTTTTATTTCAGAATTAAAGCTCTATTAAAATTTAGCTATACATGATCTAACTGAATAGTGTTTTTAATATTTATGAACGGAATGCAAGTATAAATTCAGTTTCACCTTTTTGACCTCTAAGAAATTTAGAACCGAGACGTGTAAAGATAATTCGTTCGCTTCAGATAACGCCATTATGAGAATTATAGAAAATGAGACTTAAAAGATGTTCGATTCGCGTGCTTTCTAAATTAAATCACGGGCGTTGCTGACACATTTATATCAGCAGACATGGTCAAATGATCAACTACAAAGAACTTTCGTGATTGAGCACTTTGAATTCAGGTCTTTTAATCATCTACCAAAATATCATCATATTATCGAGGCTATCGAGCATTTGTGCCCTACGTTTCGTTAAAATTTCCAAAATAATCCCGTTAAGTTAGAACGCTACAATCAAGAACTATTTAAATGTCACACGTCGAACAATGACAAATGTTTTGGAACCGAGAACTCCCTGATATGTTGTTTATAGACTCTTTCCGCTCCATTCATTGTATGGGCTTGGAAACTCTACTTCTTTACCCGCTGAGATTTCTAAACGCATCCTAAAGTCAGATCAAATATTTACCAGCCTGGAGTAGGTAACACTTCTTTGTATTTACATTAATGTCTAAAATATACATTGCAGGAAATCAACTACGCGCGCACGCGAGTCAGAAGTGAAAAACGAACCACCCTCACGCAATTACAGTTTTGATTTCGGTTTTCACTGAATACCTCAGTCGAAATACAAAATCGCTTGCATTTTATACGTTGAATTGAGAATTTAACCATCCTACCTTGCCCAGGTTCGAAGAAAGTAATGCTTTCGCAAACGCCAAGTAGAAGACAGCGACAATACCTCTTTGCGTGATGCGCGTCCTACTCGGAATTCTGGGATGGAATGTGCCTTTGCTTTTCTTCTGATAATAATAATATGCGTCACTGATCAAGATTGTTTCTGAGATATTAAGCTCCAACCTGTCGGGGCTTATGCATAATTAAGATGTTTTATCATAGTCTGCTCCAGAGATAGATGACTAATGGCCGTATTTCTTTGAAGAAACTTAACGAAAACTGCGGCACAAACGAGCTGCGATAATCAATAAAAACATTTTATGGCACTTTGATGCTGTTTATCATGAGCCCATGCGTGCATTCAGATGGCAGCATGCGGAAAAGTTCAAGTCACATGTGACAAAAACACTATGTTTTCAGTGACTGGTCAAAATGGTCCACACTAGCCACGCGTGTGCGCTGCGTCTCTACATAGGTTAGGCACCAACGGTCCCATGAATTGTTCAATATTTGAAGGCTTTTTGTTCACATGTTGCGGACTCATATCCGTTGGGCGGTTTAAATTAGAGTAAACCTAGTAGCAGTCAACCTTGCGGAAGCCAAAATCTTTTCATATTGTCTACTTTTCTAAATTAAGACACCCTGTTTTATTTAAGTCTTCCGGTTGTTAAATTAAAAATCATGATGATGTAACGCAAGACTTTGAAATTAATTATCGTAAGAGTTCTGGCTTTTTACGGATGAAACTACACCCAAGGGGAAGCTGAGAGGAAAGATGGGAGGTTGGCTTTTTGCTACTCTGAGAAAGTCTTCGGCGGGGTTTTAATCGTGAGCATTTGACCTTTCTTTGCCGTTCTGCCTGTTCCAGCTTATACAGATGCAGTCAAACCCAACGTCACGCGCCCCTGGTTAAACCCTGGCAGGAAAAGACAATGTTGTGATTGCCTGTTCTAGGCTCTCACACTAGAGGGAAGAGCGAAAATGCGTCAAGGCGAGCGTAAGAACAAGGGTCTCTAACATTCCTCCCGCAACTCCCAAAGTTTTACATGCACTCGCTGGCTTTTTTGCTGATCGGGTCAGATTGAGATGGGAACGAGTTTGTGGTACAGTGCTGGAAATCGTAGATGAAAAGCAGTTTGCGAAGTTATTTGACAATACCGTTACATGGTAGGTTAAAACCTGTTCCAGTGTACCCATACTTCATTTCATTCACCAATTTCGAGAGAATGGAACGTTGTACATCTTAAAACATCACATTCAGTCACGGTGCTCACATCTCACTTTAACACCGTCCCCTCCGTTTGAAGAGAAAAGCGCCTCGGGAAGGAGGTTGCTGCCGCGCAGTTCACGAAAAGTACACAACCATCGCACGTGACGAAAAGTACCCAAACTTAAGGGTTTTTTTTTTTTCTCCTTTCGTATTTCAATAAACACACCTCAAAGTAGGTAGATTGATTCATTTTATTCGAAGCTGTTGAGCACACATTTACAGAGAATATAAAGTTTGGTATAACAAGGTCGTTAGGTAAATCAGACAGCAAAATCTAGCGTCCACTCCTAAGTTTCACAGAACACCATCAGCAAGAAAAGAGTAAAAAATGTCAGCTCCATAAATTGTGAAAAACTTTCATTGGACTGAACAGTATCATTTAAGGGACATACATTGCCGGAATCATCACCTTACAGAGATTGCTTACTAGTAGAAAATTCAATTACTATCATCGCCGGCAGGAAGACTGCAAATGCTGCTTTTAAAGCCTTGTCAACAGATACCCATTATAAAACAAGAGTTGAAACAGTTTGAACAGTTTAGGGTGAAATCAATCCAATACAACCTCAAAATTTGATCGCAGTTATTCGGAAATGCAGTTTGCCTTTCTAAGCTAAGGTAATTTTCACCATAAAACGCACCAAATAACGGAAATACACGCTGTAATCACTTTCGATTCATCATCTGCTTCATTAAGAAAAAAAAAAAAAAAAAAGTTACATAAACGGGTCAAGTGATTTCAATAGGTCATAGTTCCATAGCAGGTAACTTTTCAAAAGGCATTTAATCCTTACGCCACCGAGACCTGATTAGCAATTCTGCTGCAAATTTCCTTGTAAATTAGTTACAAGAATTTGGTGTTAAATCAAAGCAAACACTTCAAACTGATGAGTTCGAGATTTCTCATCACCTGTTTTCCGTATGATGTACCTATATTATAAGGAGAGGCTAAATGTTAATCGCTTCTGGGAGTTTAACAACGATTCATCTAGTAAGCCGACGCAAATAGATGGTTAATCTTAACGAAGTTACAAGGAACTGATCATTCGAAGATTGGAAACCAAGGTTTGTAATCTATCTTTAATATAAGAGAAAAATCGAGTTTCCAGATGGGATTTGAACCCACGACCCTCCGTGATCTAGTCGGATGCTCTAACCACTGAGCTACAGGAGACTCTATGGTGAGCAAGGGACAATTAGTGGGTATTGACTAGAACCGCATTACGCGGCTACACAGCCAAACATTAGCTAGCGCATAGAAGCTCACTAACAGCTGGTTGGCTGCATGTGATGCTTTAATGCATGTGATGCTTTAATGTGACAGCGTGATGCTGTTAGTAAGCTTCTATGCGCTAGCTGATGTTTGGCTGTGTAGCCGCGTGATGCGGTTCCAGTTAATACCCACTAATTGACCCTTGCTCACCATAGAGTCTCCTGTAGCTCAGTGGTTAGAGCATCCGACTAGATCACGGAGGGTCGTGGATTCAAATCCCATCTGGAAACTCGATTTTTCTCTTATATAAAAAATTGTTTATTTCATCCTTGCCCTCTATCACTCTAAGAAAAAATTCACTGGCAATTTTATAAAACGCGCGAGGTATAGTTAAGCTTTGACCTTCAGCTAAGAATGAAACCCGTATTTATATGCATGTACTAGGCACCGATTTAATTTTTTATCATGGACACCCCAGCTATTTTTACAGTGCCTGTTTTGGCAGTGATACATGAAAAATTCAGGGGAAAATAAGACCAAGACACTGATAACCTCGAAATGTGTTTTTTTTTTTCTCCAGTCTGCTCTTTGATCGTCCAAGGAAGGAAACAACAGCGTTTCATTTCCCGAACAGCAGGTGTTAATCGAGACACGAGACTGAATGAGCAATTATTTTTTGATTTAAGTATTTGGTCTCACGTGATGTTCACGTGAGGATACTTCGCGACATACTTTACTCTTTTACTTTTAATCTCCCCTGTTATCTCCGAAAACGGAAGAGATCTAAAAGTAACTCGTAAGGGGAAAGCTTACGTATAAAATCTTCATTAAGGATTTCCATTGAAACGCTTGACCCCAACCACACAATAAAGAAGCTGCGATGTAAAAAGATTTTGTTACAAAAGAAAACACAAAGTTTTAAAGGTTGTACCTTGAAACCTCCTGTCCATCACAATATGACAATTTGTTCCATTAAAATTTTCTAATCTATTTTTTGAATAAAATGTCCATACTAACGCCACGGTGAGATTGGTCAATAAAATTAATAATTAAAAACAGACACAACCTAAAATTTCTTCTGCTTAAAGGTACCCTCTCATTAGCGTTATTAGTACTGACTTCCAAACTAAGCTGAAAAAGGAAATAGCAAAACAAAACGAGAAAGTATATTGTAACAGAAAAACACACAAATTTTGTTTTGAACAAGTCATGTGATGAGGTACGAAAAAAAGAAAGCAAGCAAGTAAATAAAATGAATGGATTTCAAATCCTGGAAAAAAAAAAAACTATCTCTCACTGTGAGTTTTTTGTTATACTGTAACACTACCCCAGCATGTACGCTTCCTTTGCTAGTTAATCAAGTACTCTCAAAATATTAATCACCAAATAAGTACTCAAATATTCATGAAACATTGTGGAACAAAAGACTGTTCATCAACAGAAGAATTTATACATCTGTGTTTGGAGACTTCTATTTTCTTTCCTACAATTCAGTCTACTTTCTATCCACTAGATTGTAATTTAAACCTAATTACAAAGTACTTCTTTTCAACTTTAATTTAAAAACTAATGATACATTTACATCCCAATTGAAACTAGACCTTCTTACAGTAAGATACCTGCACTGACAGCAACATTAAAATAAACTGCTGAGATAATAAATAATACTACCAATACTTGGCCTAGGTTGGCATTAATTTCAAAGTTAAATCTAGATAGTATGATTAATCGTCTGTGGCATCATTAATACTTCCCATTGAGGATTTGGACTTACGAGTGCTGATAAAAGGGCTCATCTTGATATCTTTCTCACTGCCACTCAAACTCAAATTCAAGTCTGCATCAGTTTGGCATTTCAGATAGAACTTCTTCATCAACTGCATTCGTTTCAAAGGGCTCGAGGCCAAGTAACTGTTCTTGATGAATTGAGGAGCAGAACCCATAAGTTTCATCTGTGTAATGACCGTGACAGTGGAAGATGTCGAACCATCACCCACTGGACGGATTATTGTACCTGAAAGGACAGTCTCAGCCCTATACAATGAAGAGAAATACTCCAAATTATTTGTATGCCACTTACTTTAGACCCCTTTGACATCTGAGAGTGACCAGCCTCTAATTATTTCTCCTTACAATATCACCACTGAATCACACATTAAGGTCAGGAGAATAAGGGAAATGATCAGTGTAAGAGTGACCAGCATCTAATTTCTCCTTACAATATCACACCTGAATCACACATTAAGGTCATATCAGACTCATCTTAAGTTGGAGGTTCCCCAGACTGATCATACAAGCAGACTAGTCAAGCTATTTCTGCTTGCCGCCTAAATTGATTGACCTATGATCAAAATTTCCAATCTGCAGTCACTCCAGAGTTTGCACAATCATGATTGGTTCAAGTCAGATTTTTCCATGGCAGAAAATGGCCCAAACACAAAAAGGGGAGTGCTTCTAGCATAAGCATCTTATGATCATGAAAAATAAGATTTCAAAACAGAACTACTACTACCTGACAAAGGTTGACTTGACTGAATCGCGCATAAGAGGGTGTTCTGTACTGCGCAATGCTAGAATATAGCAATGCTGGTCTGAATCATAACGCTCCAATGACGCAAGTACAACATCTCTCTTAGTACAAAACAGAGGCATCTTTAGACGGCTGTATTATTACAAAAAAAAACATTGATCAGTAATCAGAATTATTTTTAATTACATGAAAGGTGTTTAATTTTAATTAATAACCACAGGCCTGGGATGCATTACCTACAAGTGAACCTACCCATTAATTTCCATGCAATTCGATTGGCTACTTTACATCACATGGTGCTAAATCAACCAAAAGTTATCTCAAAATAACCCATGTTTAAGGTGATATTTCACCTCTGATTATTTCCATGTCAAAATAAAACAAGAGGAAAAAAATCCTGCTTAAGAGTTTCCTTTTTTCATCTGTATTACTTTACATGGAAGACAAATGAACTTGTTAAGTAAGGTCCAAGTGGAAGCCCTGGAAGCTTTGCCTCTCAGCCAAATATTCATTTTTGGACAATCTCCAAGCTGCACACAATATCAGCTGACATACCAGCCCCTTGAAGGGGCTTTGTTCACTAAGTATTAAGGCAAAAGGCATCCCCCAACAGTGTTGCTTTAATGTTGCAATTTCATTCTAAAATATGGCAACGCCTTGGTCTCAAATCAACAATTAAAAACCTCTGTACCTTAGTACAGATAGTAAAACCTCCCACATTTTTTTAACATCAGATAACCAGCCTACATATTCTTACTTGTAAACCACTTTAAAGTTTCCTATTCGATCCAAGACATCCACAACTGATGCAGTTTTGTCCCACTCTTGTCGCAACTTCCAATCCGTCATCAGTTTCACAGCTATCGAGAAAATGATGCAAACACAATGACATCAAAAACTATACTTTATTATCTGTTTCAATCTGCAAAATCATGGCAAGAAGTGAGCCAGCTGGCATAACAGAAAGCACATCAACATTAGCATATACACATGACACTTCATCACTCAGTAATTTGAAAAAACTTTGTTCTTGAACAACTTTTGTGTGTGTACTGACCTGTCTTGAATGGAACATCTTCTAGATGTAATACAGCCTAAGAGAAAATAAACATCACAAATGAAGTCTAGCTTAGATTGAGTCCATCAATACAATCAGGTTTGTATACTTTTAAATTTCCATCAAATGGACAACTCACTTGTTGATAAAAGCACAGGTAAAATGTTCAGCCAATTCAAACCCTTCTGGATTAGTTTTTAATGCCTCTAGAAATGATTTTTTTATAAATAGTATCGTATTCCTGTTGGTAATCTTCCTACTAGATAGAAATTAGATGGAAATTTGCTAGTCAGACTATCATCTGACCAGCAAATTTCGCTTTTAATAGTGTACAGCGCTTTAGAATATTTTAATAGTTAAAGCACTATATCAAATGTAATAAAATTATTAAAAAAATGTAATCAATTATTATTATCATATCTGTTCTGTGAGGAGTTCACAATTAATCTGAGAGAGTACTGTATTTGTCCCTGAAAGCAAGACACATCAATATCACTTTGGCATTAGAATGAAGGGGTAAGTTTCTAAAGAAACAGTGGTGCTGCATCAGTGGGAGTAACCAGGTAATTTGGTTTTATCAACTGAGTTGATAGTGAAATTGGCCACCATAAAGAGTTTCAAAGCTGAGGTTTGTGGCATTTGCCCTTTGTCAGAGTGAAAGGCTAACTTCTATTACCTTGGCATTGACCCAAGTCTCTCTAGCTCCAAGCTAGTAGTGCACATTATTGAGCCACAGTAACACCAACCCCCATAAGCAAAAAGGTAGTTCAAGAAATGAAGTTGGAGAAATTATCCAGAAAGTAAAATAAATAAATTGTAATATATATCAAACAGTACCTTTGTAATTGGGGGAAATCCCTCTTCATTTGCTTCCCTTCTCCAAACTTCAGCATCTTTAGTTCTTTTTACCCGTGACCATGTCCCTTCCATTCTTTCACTTTCCACAGACAATAACCTTTCAATGTCATTTTCATGGATTGGATTTGATGGTACATAATGCTGAGGTTCATGACGCAGGGTACCATAAGATTTGGAAAGATCTAATAGAGAAATATATTAAATTTGTTTTCATCTGTTATTACTCACTGAAAACGTCCACAAGTCCAAAAGAAGCAATCTTATTTCTTATGCATCTTTAAAAAATGTTTTCTAAATTTTTCCAGTTTTTTATTCTCAATTAACCTGTGTTCGTCTTCTCTTTCCTTTTCTGGCCTTCTCCCATTTAGCTGCAATCATTTCTCTGGTATTTTCCACATTGACAAAATTATTTTTGTTACTCTTTTGGAGATATTCTGTACTGACTAAAGAAAGGTCAATAATTCACAAAAAGTGACTTAAAATATTAAACCACAGCTTGCATAAAGGAAAAACATCTCAAAGCTGCTATTTTAACTAAATATAGCATAGGCTGCATGTGACAATCAGAAACAAAGAGTGGGTACTTAGACCTGCTGAGAATTCTAAGAGACTACATATTGCAAACTTATTTCAAATATGTAGCAAAAACAAGTTACAACTGCTGCTTCACTGAATATAGCATAGCCCCTGCATGAAAACCTGGACCTGAGCCAGGTTTAACACAAAAGAGTGGGTACTCATATGATCACAAAAGTGTGAGGAATGAAAATCTTATCTGTAGTCACATATTACATGTTAAATATAGCATTCACAACATAACTTAATCAATAAATTATATAATTTGAGATCAATACAACACAGTATTTAAAAATTTTTCTCTCGTCAAGATGATCACTATAGCTAAAATAAGGTATGTAATATATCCAGCTTAGAAAAAGTTAAAAAATATTATACAATGGATATTGTGGATTACTAATCTGCGTTCTGTTTCCTTCCCTTCCGAGGGCCTAAATTCTAATTAGACAATGATCTATACAGGACAAAGCGGAAAGTTCGAGCACATTCGTCAACAGCAGGACGTTTGCAAAAACAAGGTAATTATAGATGCTTCCTTCGTGAGCCTTAGTCATCTTCCTCTTTTGGTCCTTTTCTTTGACTGGACGCGATCGAACGTTCGATCGTCACGCAACTGCCTGTCATCGGGACTACAGCATAAAACCTTACATTTCGCGTATGTCTCAATATCATTAATATTCTACTCGATTCAAATCATGTCAAAGCTTATATCAGATCCTGACAGGCTTAGGTAATAAAGGCACCCAACACAAACAAACTAAAAAAGGGGCTAGATGAAGAAGAAAATGGTGCAATCACTGAACTTTACTTCGTAAGCGATCGAGCTCGCTAACTTAATTAATTGCAATCGATGTGGTTTATAAAAAGTTCTACTACGTTCCTTACCCCGCGGTTATCTTTTGTTCGAAGAACAGTGCATTTAATGGTCATTTTAAGGATAAGAGTACCTTTCTTCTCTTACATTTACTCTGCAGTACAAACACATCACCAAGTCGTTGGGCGAGTTTACATTGTTGATCGTTTTAGGAAACTAACAGTAAGCTTTTGAGACCGACTGTGTCACAAATGTTCTCAAGTCAACGCAATACCAGCTTTAAGTTAAATAATATTCGCACAAAGATGAGTTGACCTGTTCAAGTTACTGACAAAATCATTGCGAAATTGAGCAAAACAGTATCTTACGACCGCCATGAAGTGATTGGGAACGGGCGAAAATACTCATATGAGCATAGGTCGTTCATTTCTATTTTTTGATCATATATATCTTAAACGATTGCTTTTAGAAAAAAGACTTACCAAGATCGCTTTCCGCCATCCTATTTTGTGTAAATACAACGACCAGTTCCGCAAATGCAACTTAACTCTCGCAATATTCACGCGGAGCAAATGTGTAAATGGTTGGTGACGTCATTAACCTCGCTATTGGCCGTCGATTGCCGTAAACAACTGACGTATCTGATTTCTGTCGATGTTCGAACGTTTTGAGTCATAACACACGTTCACTACTTTAAACTAAATATAAACTGTACAGATGTGATTTATTTATCACATGTAGTGGGAAATTTATTCTAAAATAAAACGGGTTAAGCTGATAGAACGTAGCATTAAAATCATCGAATACTTTTGATCCAGGACATACCTAATTAGGAGTTAAGTAGCCTTACTAAGGGAACAATTCTTGAAGCCATTTCAAGGATCTCATTGAAGTACTTACAAAAAATTCCCGTCTTGATTACCAGTGTTTCAGATCAGAAGCCAACATTAAAATATTCTCAGTAAAATTCAATTGTGAGGAATGGCATTTAGGAATATTTCCTTCAAGAAATATAATCCAGAATCCTGAGACCTAACAATTCCATAAAGCTCTAAGATATGGTAAATATGGTAATTATCCAGTTACTTTCGAGAATGCTTACGGCATTGATCGGTTCGAGTGGAATGCACCCACCCAAAACGCCGAAAGGGAAAAGGTGCATGTAGGACGCGCAAAACGAAGAAACACGCGTGTCTCGAGCAGGCAGTCTTCTTGAATGATAGCCAAACAGAAGAGAACAGCTTGAGAATTTAGTTACGGGTCACCACTCGAAATGTCAGCTTTAACAAATTCACTACGTTAGTCCATAACCCGTAATAAACTGAATTCTGCTTGATAAACGACTGTTTCACTAGCCTAGGTTCGCAGGGAAACAATTCCTCTGAACACTTAATTTACTGTTTATTTCCAAAATAGGAAAGCAGGAAACATGTGAGAAAAAACGCGACAGGAACCCTGCTGCGTTTGTTGGGTGGAGAGACAGGTGTGGAAGGTTTGGCCGAATGACGTAGCATATCTGTGGTTGATATTGCACGATTAGTGGTACATTGATAAAGACGTGTAGAACATTAAAAAAAGAACAAGTTTAATTAACTTTCTTTATATTAAGCAACCTAGCGCGCACAATTATTTATATCGTTTGTTAATATTTATATCCTTCAATTCAATACCACAATAATTATATTCTGATGTCAGTTACCGGTCATTACTTCAACAACGAGGAACAGAACTTGGATTTAGTAAGAAAGGTTTAGCTTTTTTCTTTCATGTGAAAATACTGTCCTCCGGTTTCAGTGAATACAGCCATGTGACGATGGAACCTCTATAATATACTCCGAGATGTTCAACTGTTTAGTAAGCCCTTAAAAAGAGGAAGCGTGCATCTCCAACGCTTCAGAGGAAAGTTCGCAACAAACCAGTTAAACAATGCCGGATTGCTAAAACGCCTCATTCAATGACGGCAAGCCCATTCAAGATTACATATTTTTAACCATAAAAAAGCAAGTCCAGTGCTTTCCGTTTCTTTTTAGCAACTTTAATCATTATCACTTATTATTTGTGAAATTCAGCCAAGATTGTCCGTCTACGCAAGTAACTCAACAGGGGTTCACCATATCTAAGAACTATCCATCGACGCATCACGTACGCAAACCATACACCTCGTTCAGCATTGCATACAGTGTCAGCAACAAGATCACTATCTCGCGGAAAATTACGGTCTTTTCGTCCAAAAGTTTTTTCATCTGAGTCGGTTCGGCTAATTGTTAAGTCTTTTCTCGAAGCAAATAATTACCTTTTAGAAGGTTAGATAAGGTTATATAAAGAACTTATTAGTGCGAGCCGCTGCCATTTTAGTTCCGATAGCTTTAGTCACCAATCCTCGTTGACGAATTAAACATCGTGAATTACGATAAATACACAGAGAAGATGCTTATTTTGGGGTCATTTTTGGCTTAGTTTTATTTCTTTACCATGTTGGACTATATTGTTAGCTATGTCGGAAATTTAGTGATGTTACACTTGGTTGTCTATTACGCGTAACAGACTCTTCACAAGCCTAATATTCCCATTTCTTTTACGCGAAATAATTAAACGGCAAGTCTTTATTTTTGTCATTATCTAATAAAATATATTGCGTTACAACTTCATTTAAAATAATGATGTAACTTTGACGAAAAGACTTGATATTGGACGAATGGACCCAAGACTTTAGACGAAAAGACTCTTGGACGAAAAGACCGGATCGGCCTCGCGGAGGAGAAATTCAACAAAGTGCTAAAAAGTGCTAACAAAATATTTCCTTTTTCAGTGAAATAAAAAGTTGGGACTAAGTCTTCTCTTCAGGTACGCTGTAAAGATATTCTTAAACCACAAATAAATAAATTAAATGGTCAAAAGTCTTCATCATAATAATAATAATGTCTAAATAACCAGGAAATGCGTTGAACACATTGCAATATTGTGTGGTCTATAAGCAAACCACACTACATAAGTTAACAGTTTCAGTGTTCAAGTAAACACTATCTGCATTCCTTACATTAAAAGTACGAGTTTATGTTCGCGGGCATATGTTTTGGGCCCGACTCGAAGTCATTTTAGCCCGAACTGCTAAGCGAGGGTCAAAATGGCTCTAGGAAGGGCTCAAAATATATTAATGCCCATAAATACTGAGAAAATAAAAAACTGAAAATATGACAAAACAGTCTGAACGATGACGAGATCGTGCGAGCGGGCTAGCATAAATGTACATTTTAGCCCGCTAAAATCTTCATTTAGCCTGAAACAATCGTCACATTACCCGACAAAGTGAAATACACTTCTGAATCTTAAGTACTTGTCTTTGAGAAAACCTTCATAGGTTTTTCTTGATCTTACCTTCATATTTTAAAGGTATTATTTTCTTACTTAACAATTATTCGCCGAAGGCGAGGTGAATATCGTCGAATAATCCCGGAGACGAAGTCGAGGGGATTATTTGACAATATTCACCGAACCTGAGGCGAATAACTGTTTTAGTGTAATTTCAGAGCTGACCAACGGAGAAATTTCTAAAATCATAACATTTTAGTAACATTTATTGACATTTTTTTATTATATGGCCGGATCAGTATTTTTATTCCCTCATATTATATGGCTGTGTCTCACAAGGACTGGGAACTACCGAATTCACGAACTTGATTGGCTGAAATCAATATTGAAAGCGGTCTCGATTTTCCCATCTAGACCGGCATCTAGACCGGTCTTGAAAAAAAAGGTACAAAGAATATAAAAAATTGGCATATAAGACAGCCATATAATAAACATCTTAAGAACCGAGCTAGGTCGGTCTGTATGAGAGAATCTTGACCTCGGTCGCTGGTACAGACCTCACTGCGTTCGGTCTGTACTGGCGACCTCGGTCAAGATTCTCCCATACAGACCTCCCGCTCGGTTAATAAGAACTAAATA